TGTAACACTTGTCTTTCAATATACTATTTCTGAAAGTGGTAGAATTGCTAAAAATTTTGATATTTGATATTACATTATAGGTATTAATTTTGACAAAAATTCTTGAGAATTGTTCTTGAGTTTTATTATCTTAAACTCTAATTGCATCAATATTAGTATCCCTCTACAACCCCATGCCAATTCCCTTAAAAAGCATCCTCAGTTACTTTTAAAGTACCCCTAAACTTCCCTTAGTTACAATAGTTACTTACTAAAAACGATTGCCCCCTTAACTTTTTCGAACATTTGCTAAACTTTTCTTTAACTCCTTAATTGTTAATACACTCTTTCTGAACTGTTAAACTTAAAAAAACTATTGTGTTCGTTCCAATTCCTTTTAATTCATATAGAATTTATTATAACTTGTCGGAGTACCTCACGGCTCTAAGTGTAACGTTGATGTCACTCGTTATCGATGTCCTATTAAATTCTATCAAACCAACTGTTGGGAAGGGCTTATATGTACACTGGCCCTAGCCATTGTGGAACAAGAGATATAATGAATTAGTGGATAGGGCAGCTACAGAAACAACTTTCTCGAAACAAATAAAGTGGTACGTGCCCATATTAAAGTAGAAGTATGAAAATGCGAAATAATTTAATAATTTACTGGTAAAAAACAAACATTTAAGTAACACTGTATAAACAATATACCGATAGGATTAATATTAATTGTTAAACAAACTGCAAACACTACATCTTCTCATATTTTATCTCATTTCTGGATTGTTGGCCAAACCCAAATTTTATACTCGAATTCAAAACTCGCAAAAACTCCAGGTTGGAAATAAACCTTCTTCTCCTGTATTGGTTTTCTCGTTCCGGTTCCTCTTTTCTTGTATAGGTATTCTCGTTGTGATTATCTTCTAAGTGATTCTTCTTCAGAGCAAATTTTATTTTTAGCTCTCTTGTTAGATTTTCTCTAAGTTGATGGTGAATATCACACTGCTCCCTGATAATCTCTGTATCTCTGTTTTTTGTTAATTCTGTAAAGGGTTTTAACAATTCAGTTTTGTTGAAAGTATCTGTTTTTAAATCAAGACACTCATGTTTATCTTTTAGTGGATCGTTTGTATCTGCTTGCGCATAATTGTTGATTAAACCATGAAATCTCCATGAACAACAGCAACATGTTATCGGTTCGACTACTTGTATACATTTATCCAGTGCCTCAGTTTGACTCCAATTATCTTTGAGGTTAGAGGAGACCTGATTAGTGTTTTTCTTAGAATTCTTGTAATGTGCGCATGGTAACGATCGCGATGTTTGGATAGCTTGATCTTTATGTCCCTTTGGATCATTATTAATACCACTCCATTTTGTACACTGAAACAGTTCCCCAGAATAATTACTGGTTTCAAAAACAATCTTTTGAATTTCGGGCCACTTGACTATGATGTACCCCAACAATGGATAGTAACTGGTTTCACTCTACAAAACAGCTTCACAGTGTTATTTACAAATTAGTAAACAAATTACCTGTATAACACTTCCAGGACGAAAAGGTCTAACAAATATACTTGCTGTGTAATATTTAACTAATACCAAAAGTGTCTGTTCACCTCCTGATAACAGAGTCAGCAAATTTAAAAAGTTAATTAATGTTATAATTAGCAAGAAATTACAGGGTGGGAGACGCAATAGCTCGCTGAAAGAGGTATCTAGTGTCTAATGTTACTCCAATGCAGATACCTACTTTGTTAGTTTATAGAATAATTCCTTATCATCGACACCAACATTTAGTGCAAAATACTCGCTTAAATACTTGGCGCATGGTTTGGAGAGCCTCATCCAGTTATATTTTACATTACCGATTCGTTTCGGTAGAAGTTCCACCGGAAGCAATCCAATAAAATGCCGTATCACCCACAATAGTGCGCCAGGTGAACATTTAATATATGTGAGGTCTTTTCCAAACGCAATACTTTCCTTTAACGCCAGGCGTTCCTGTAGAGTACCTTGAAAAAACCTGAAAGACCAAGTAGTATTTGAAAATGTGTTCGTAGCTGATTTACTTTATTGCATTTTCAACGGAGTATCCACATCCCTTCAATCTAAGGTAGCATATTTTGAAGACGTGCTAGAAATTTATCTCTGGATTTACCTAACAGAAGCAAAATGCTAACCTGAAATATAGGATGTAGTCCTGATGCATCTTGAAAATTCGTCTCCAACGGGACGCCGAAGCTTAACCTTAAAACCACAAAGATAGTTAATACCTAGGCATTTATTGTTTTACCTGTCGATGTTGAATTCAGAAATTGATAACGATGATTGCATTGACATTAGTAGTGAGGTTACTTTGACGTTTATTGTTTTATTAGAGAAATACCCACATCGGCGGCTCACCTTTTGTTTTTCCTAATGTGGGCCTTGGAAAGTTGAATTTATGTTTCTAATTGCGAAAGACCCTTATGCCTCTATAGTTTGAACAGTTCTCTTTATCCCCTTTTTTAAAGAAACCTATCCCTTTCTGAAGTCCTATGGTTTTGTTTCCCTTTTATACAGAGATCCACTAGTTTCTCGAATAACAAGCCTGGTGAATTTTTTGTTCACCTGTTAAGGGTACGGGGTTGTAGTATAATCTTCCAATATCGAAAGTTGGCAAACCGGGATCTGCTGCTTATTATTATTATTATTATTATTTATTATTAGTTACTTGTTGATATATAAAAAATTAGAATTGTCTGTCACGTTATATTAAAGTTCACATGTACAATTTGTTCACAATACACTTTTTAAAAGCAATTGGAATCGCTTATTTAATACACAACAATTGGCGACGAGTTGTAAACAGAGGAATACAAACCACATAAAAAGAAAAATCGTTAAAAATGGATGAAGCACAGTTTCAACAATTTATGAAATTGCTTAACGAAACCCAGGTAAGATTAATCGATTCGTATAAAGTACATCAGGCAACACAAAACATAGCGCAACAACCCATGGGAACAATAGTACCTTTTGAAAGTTTTGACCCATCAAACGAAAAATTCAACTGTTATATTGAACGTTACGAAAATTATACAGCCGTAAAAAATCTGCAAAACGATCAGAAAAAAGCTCAACTTCTAAATGCTTCGATCGGGCTTAATCATTATAATAGTTTAGCTGCATTCATGGGACCCGATAACCCTATAAAAGAGATTGGATATGAAGACCTAATGAAGAAATTTAGGGAGATGTTGGCGCCGCAAAGGAAACCTGTAGTGAGCCAACATTATTTTCTCAGCATAGCCCAAAAAGAACATCAATCTATAGCACAATTTGTAGCCACCCTGCGTCAATCTCTCTCTGAATGTGAATTTTACACTACATGTGAGTGTTCAAAGAAAATCTCCATTGCCGATATTTTTTGCGTGCACAATTTATCAGAGGACTCAGAGATAATTGGATTCGAGAGAAACTCTTGCAAACAGAAGATACCCCCAATTTTGATGGATTTGTGCCAAAAGCAGTAGCACTTGAAGCATTCAGAATAGAAAGCCACAAAATTACATTGCAACCATCAACTTCAGTCGAAATTAACTCTGAATCAACACATCGTATGTCCTATCACCAGCCTCGTAAAAGCCGGAATACTTCTAAACAACGCCGATATCACTGTTCTCAAAACCGTCAAAGAGGAACTTCAGAATCCAGAGGGAATCGAATCGATTATCGAGCTTTAGGTATCGATAACTTGTGCCTCTATTGTGGAAGGTCAAACCATCGCTCAAAGGACTGCAGAATTGAAAAGAGAAGACTCAAATGCCACTCTTGTAAGAAGATTGGACACACAGCTAAGGTCTGCACGATTATGGAAAACCAGAAAAACACATCGACTCAATATTTCCAGGACGAAGCTTCCAATCAAGAATATGGAATTTGCAACCTCATCGATCTATTTGAGATATCACCTCACCAAGATAAGTATATAGTTATTGTTAAAATTAATGATAAGCCACAACAATTTGAGGTAGATTCTGGTCCAAAATTCACTTTGTTAGGGGAGAACGATTACAAAACATTAAAATTAAAATCCAAAATTCAACCAACACCTACAGTATTCCGTTCGTACTCAGATCACGTTATAAAACCAAAAGGAAAAGTAATAGTAAACGTATCATACAAAGACAAAGTAATTGAAAATGAACTGTACATTGTACCTTCTGGTTACAAACCCTTACTTGGACGAAATTGGATACGCAAGCTACAAATTGACCTTAAAGAAATCGATAACGAAACATCAAATTCTCCAGAATACGTCACAGTTGGTTCGATCCAGACACCAGACCAATTATTTCAGGAGTTCGCACCAGTATTTGAAGAAAAGATTGGATGCATGCCTAATGTGGAAATTCAACTCCATCTACGAGACAATGCCTCTCCAATTTTTACCCGAGCAAGAAACGTACCATATGCACTGAGAGAGAATGTAAATAAAGAATTGGACAGTTAAGGACGGCATACGAATTAAAAAATTGAACCAGTTATGAAATGAGGCAACCATGATTCAGCTATTAAATATCAGAGGTCGCAGCATGTTTTAAAATCGAAAGATCGTGAAGCATCAGAAAGTCTCTGTGAAGCATTATTTCTGTAGTAAATAAATTGTGCTGCCACATCGTGTCGAGTAGGTGGTACTATCTATTTACACAATTGGTTTGTGTATAACTCTAAATTAAATTACTTTTATATGTTGACTTCCGTGACCTTGCCCACATTCCTTTGCTTATTTTAACGAGATAAAAAACAGGTGGTTGACATAGATTAAATTACATTTAAAGGTACACGCAAAAAACGATTATGCACTATTACCAGAGTTATTGAGTTATTATTCTTATAATAATGCTTTGACGTGGTGAATTTAGAAGGATACATAGGGGAATTTGCTTTATTTAGAAAAAAACTGTTTGTTTTTGTTTATTTTATCATTCCTGCAATTTAGTCCAGGAAATAGAGACTGAAAATGGACCATTTCCTGCAAAACGAGAAGTAGTTCCAATTTTTGTTGCATGTCATGAAAGACTATCTGGTGGTTAAGAATCCAAGTTTTCGACCTCCCACCCCTTGTGCTTCCTCCGTACCACCCTTAAAACCAAAGAAATTTGGTTGGTTTTTTAGTTTTTCAATCATATCTTTTTATAAGTTCATTTTACAAAAAAATATTGTTATCAGAAAGGGATGGGAGGTCGAAAACTTAGATTCTTAACCACCAGATGACTGTCTATGACATACAAAAGAAATTGAAACTACTTCTCATTTTGCATGTTAAAACCCTCTATTCCCTGGACTAATTATTGTAATCATTATTTTCACTAAACTTCATACTATGCGATCAAAAAAGAGTTGTCGAGTAACCTTTGGAATTTTTGGTTACCCGGAAAGTCCGCGACTCGATTGTCATTCCTTTTTTGATCGCTCCTTATATGACAAGCCGGAGAAATCCTACTCTGGGGTTATAGGGGGCGTAGAGTCCATATCTGCGGCTGCCCTCGAAATTGGTAGAGGATGCCCAGGGGCGGCGCTACGAGACGAGGGTGCAGGGACGTAAAAAATTAACCGTGCCGAAAAAATAGTTACCTACTCGGGGCAATTCATATTTTTTACTGAAAATTCACCCACACCCCCCATGATCTCTACCCCTGAGAATTTCGAGATTAGATCCATTCAATGGTAGATCTGGTCAGTGGTCTCTGCACCAACGACCCCCCCCCCCCATATTATGTTTATAATTCTTATGCAATAAATAATAAATGCATTTTTGCACCCCTATGATTTTTTAGGAAATGCACGTTGTAGGATAGACATAGGATAAGGGCAGCGTTACACAATCGTGTAAAATTTACAAACGGTCTTCTTTTCAGTAGGGTCGCCCCAGGGTCGCCCACGTACATTCAAATCACAAATGTCATTTTATCTTAGTAAAGGAGAAAGGAATGTTGGAATAGGTCACGTTTATGTACTCGTCTTTAGACAAATAACCATTCATTGTACTTAATGACATCATAATCGGATGAAGCAGTTCTTTATATTTTTTTACAGACGCGCGCAAAGTTTAAGTTGTACCTTAGCGACATCTAGAAATAAATAGCTGCACTACTGCTGCTTGCAGCCATTGCGGTTGATGTAACTTTTTAAAAATGAAATCTTTGAGAATGACTCCTGGCCGCAATATTGGATTTTAAATGACAAAACTTTTAATATTGAAAGAGGAGGAGCAGTTTTACAGCGACTGTACTTTAAAATTCAACAATTGCTTAAAATAAAAAATAAAATGTGCCCTCTTATTTTAGCAATATTGTAGTAATTACTGTCTTTCTAGTAAAACCTTTATACAGTCGCTCTAGAGTAATGTATGTAGAATTTATATTTCCAAAAACCACCCTAAAAAATGATTGTATAAGCCCAGGAGTCATTCTCAAAGTTCGATATAATTTTACAATGCAATTTGTCAGTGGCGACCTCTATTGATTCTCATGAATAGTATGCCGTCCTTAAGAAGCTACACGAATAATAACAAAAATCTCTTCCAGCGACTGGGGTTCGCCACTTGTGATAATTCCAAAAGTAGATGGTGGAGTAAGACTCTGCGTAGATTACAAGTGTGGAGTAAATGAACGATTAGTATCATCAAATCACCCCATTCGGAAAATCGACGACATCTTACACAGCTTGAGGAATTCAAAATTCTTCTGTAAGTTAGACCTATATAAGGCATATCTGCATTTAAAAGTCAGTCCGAAAAGCAGCGAAATTCGAACACTGGTCACACACAGGGGAACATATCGTATGAACCGACTCAGTTTTGGCATCAAAACTGCCCCTTCCGAATTTAATAGAATATTTTCTGGAATATTACAAGGATTGAATAAATGCGAAGCATATTTCGACGACATTATTGTTCACGGTGTTACAGAAGATGAATGTATTGGCAATCTAAGAGAATGTTTAAAACGATTAGCCGAAAATGATCTCCATTTGAACAAACATAAATGTTAATTTTTCCAAAGAAAAATCGAATATTTAGGATATACAATTGAACATAATTGTATCAGCAAATCACCAGGAAAAGTTTCGGCAATATCAAAAATGCCTAGACCGTCAAACATTGAAGAATTGAAACGTTTTTCGGGATGGTTACCTATTATGCAAAATTTATTCCCGATTATTCAACCTTGACATATCCACTCAGAATGCTACTGAAGAAAAACCAACGTTTTACCTGGACCACGCAATGTGAATCCGCATTTTTAAAATTGAAACGAGAACTTTGTAGTGATAACGTTTTAATACCATTTGATCCACAATTACCTCTAACGTTAACAACAGATGCAAGCCCTGTAGGAATAGCTGCTATCCTCAGTCATCAAATCAACGAATGCGAGCGACCCATTGCATATGCATCACGCAGCCTTACATCATCAGAAATGAACTACAGCCAGTTAGACCGGGAAGCTCTAGCAATAATGTTTGGAGTCAATTATTTTTTTGATTACCTATATGGGAAACAGTTTACATTAGTAACAGATAACCAGCCACTGTCAAAAATCTTACATCAAAACAAATCGCTACCGAAAATGACATCTGCAAGACTACTCCGATATGCATCATTTTTATCCGGGTTTAATTACAAAATGAAATGTAAAACAGACACAGAAATTGAAATCGCTGATTGTCTATCGAGGGCACCAATCCAAAGAACAAAAATTACAACAGGAAATTCAATCAACGAAGAAGTGTCTCAATTATTTGCTCAAAAAGTCTTTCAAATATCGAGTGAAGTAATTACTTACGATACAATTAAGCAAGAATCTGCGAAAGATCTGGAAATTCAAAAAATCATACAGCATCTCCATTCTAAAGTTAGAGACGAACTTTACACTTTAGAAAATGGCATTCTCTTTTATCAAGTTAGAATACTAATTCCCAACGCACTCAGACAACAGATTCTAAAAGAAATTCATTCAACCCATATTGGAATAGTTAAGATGAAACAACTTGCCAGGACATATGTTTATTGGCCAAAAATTGACTCAAAAATTGAAAAATTAGTAAAGTCGTGTGAAGAATGTGCTAAGACCCAGCACAATCCACCAAAAGCTCCAATACATCCACGGGAAGAACCAGAAGAGAACTGGGAACGCCTTCATATTGATTATGCAGGTCCATTAGATGGATATCATTTTCTTATAGCAGTGGATGCAAAATCAAAGTGGACGGAAATACGCACATCAAAAGAAGCACCTTCAACTGCTGTAACTATAAAATTATTAGAAGATATTTTCTCGACACATGCGGGTATCCTTCGATCCTTGTGTCTGATTACGGCATTTACTAGCAAAATATTCATTGACTACTGTAAACATGGAGGTATTTCCCAAATGTTTATCCAGTGGCGTACGTAGAAATGTATTCTGGGGGGGGATTAAACAAGTTCGTGGCACATACAGTCACCCAGTGCGTACTAGAAGGGGGAGGGGGGGGGTAAGAAATAGAAATTGGGTTGCAGGTTGCTGATACTGGTAGTCACTTATCTATTTATTATTGTACAGGCGAAAAAGATTAGATTAGAACGGTATTTTATTTCTTACTGCTGACAGGCCCCTTTATTGCTTTTGCTTTAATTAGTCAACGAAAACTTTGAATAATAGGTATATTTATGGGCAAAAAACCAATTTCGACAAAAAATTCAAAGGGCTGTAACTTTTGAACTAGTAGCCCAATCTTGGAACTGTTTGAAATTATGGATTCTACAGGCCACATTCTATAAGAAAATTTTTTTTCCGGGTCGATCTGAGACCATTTTTTTTTCGGGCCTCAAAAAAAGGCAGTGTATAACCTTCCTTTTTTACCAAAAATCGACTGCACCAAAATTTCTCGGGAAAACACTTTTCTTATTAATTTTGGTGCGTAGAATCCAAAACGATTCGTACTTTTTCGATTAGACGTCTCAATCAAAAGTTATGGGCAAAAACCAATTTCGACAAAAAATTCAAAGGGCTGTAACTTTTGATCTAGTAGTCCGATCTTGGAACTGTTTGGAATTATGGATTCTACAGGCCACATTCTATAAGAAAATATTTTTTTCCGGTCGATCTGAGACAATTTTTTTTTCTGGGCAAAAAAAAGGCAGTTATTACCTTCCTTTTTTACCAAAAATCGACTGCACCAAAATTTCTCGGGAAAAAACTTTTTCTTATTAATTTGGGTGCGTAGAATCCAAAACGATTCGTACTTTTTCGATTAGACGTCTCCATCAAAAGTTATGGGCAAAAAACCAATTTCGACAAAAAATTCAAAGGGCTGTAACTTTTGATCTAGTAGTCCGATCTTGGAACTGTTTGAAATTATGGATTCTACAGGCCACATTCTATAAGAAAATATTTTTTTTCCGGTCGATCTGAGACAATTTTTTTTCTGGGCAAAAAAAGGCAGTGTATAAACCTTCCTTTTTTCCCAAAAATCGACTGCACCAAAATTTCTCGGGAAAAAACTGTTTCTTATTAATTTATATATAGCATATATCGCCAAATCGTTGACTGCCAACACTGATCACTCACTGAATAGTGAATACTGAATACTACAGAATATTTAGATTTTAGTGACTTTAGACTTTAACCAAAACCAAAATTGCTCTCTATATATACCTATATATTATTGCCTTTATTTTAAAGTGGGCGGAGCGGATAGCGGAGTATTACCTAAATATCTAATAGCTATGATGATAACTCAATTCTTCTGGGGGGGGGGGGGGGTTTCTAGTGGCTGCTGAATTCTCACTAGAATTTAATTTCCTACCGAAGTGAGAGTGATTACAACCCTACTTTTATATCTCTATACACAGTGATACATAGCTTACGAAACTACTCCCCTTTTTAACTCAGTTAGCAATCATCAAAATTTACTTTTGAAACAGGACAAAATTCGTTCTTTCCAACTGATCTAAAACAAAAAATGGTATAAACTATATTTTGAGTACTTAGCTACAAATTCTTAAGATGGTCATTAATATCTGGATTTTAATTCATGAAAACATTATTTTTTTCGGAAAAAAAACCCCCAACTTCCATCTTTAAAAAACTGGTATGAGTTGGATAATAAGGCAAATCCTTACTTTAAAAATTGTAACCTGAGGTGACCTAGTAACTTCCCCAGGGTTCTTCCTTGTTAATACTGACTTTTATGTTATATTCAAGATGCTCTAGGAATGAAACTTCTTGAAATTAGGTCTTGTGAAGCGGATATTTGAGAGAGTATCCGTCGATTATATGAGATATTTATGGCAGTTTCCTCGAAGGCGGCTTAGTTAAGGTATGAGAATAGGTGCATAACCCAAAATAACCCCCACTTCCATCTCTCTTTT